TCAAGAAGTTTCTCGGCGGGAACAGCCTGAAAAACAATGCTCCCTCAATTTGCAGCCATCCCAAAATGGTAGCCATTTCAACTTCAGAATTTAATGATGCATATTAATATGCACTACAAATAGGTAAGCCGACAGAAAATCCATATGATCTATATGACTAATCTATACGATTACACTTGAGGGGCTATTTTTCGCGAGTCAGCTTCACCCGGTGACACATAGGGAAAACAATCGCCTCGCAAACGCCTGCGCAAAGGTCACATACTGCCGCCATCGCCGCATGCAGTAGCTATCGTTGATGGTGTACTTTCAATCAAAGACTAGCTATCAATCGCTACTAATGCAAAACAACCACTGTTCAATGTGCATTCATTATCACTAACTGCAGTTAACTAACAAGGGAAGGATGGTAGGTCGAAGTGGCCGTATAAAATGAAGATGTATACCACCTGATGCGTCTCCAGACGCTGATTCCAAATCTGCCTTCCAAATCTGCTAAACGACTCTCCGAACGGAGTTATGAAGCGGAATAGCTCAGTGGTGATGGTCCGCGCTCCCAAGTATAAGCTCATAGGATCGGTTCCTTTGCGAGTTTGTCGTTTTGCGTTTTCTGCTACATTTATGAAAAACCCTTTATACCGTTTACTGTCGCCTAAACCTACACCCTGAAAAAATGCAGGACGAGTTTTTTGGCAAGCTGCCCACTGTTTGAATTCAGTTCGTTGCGGGACCCACGCCATTTGCCACTACCGTAATTGGTTTTGGCGCATCGTTCCTATTAGGACTGTACATTTGAAGCTGCAAAGCTTGTAAGAAGGGAAAGTACAGCATTGACGTTTACGAGAGTTGAAATGATACATTGGCTTTAACAAACTAGGATATTCTCATTATTAGCACTTATTATTGTAATGTTGAAGTACTAATAAGTAATTGCTGAATATGAAGAAAGCCTATGTGATCAGGTGCAACCGATCTATTGTATTCTAGAATGGTCATACTAATATATGGCAATAAAAATCAGCATCCTTTGCTCTTGCGAACCGAACCAGTTACGAAAGGAGTTTGGTGGAGATGACAGCGAGTTGAGGTCATGGAAGAAAAGGCGATCTACATGTAGCAGAGTATGTTCTGAGCAGCTCAGGCGATGATACGTTTATCTTCATGGATGGCTCTGCCTCCAGGTAGCGGATCCCCCCTGTGCTTTCTAGGTGATGAGCGGTTGTCCTTTGCGGTTAGAGTATAGAAAAGAGAGCAACTTCAATGACGTCATCTGTCGTAAAATCTTGTCGAGCGCGGAAATCAGACAAGAAGAAGTCCTGTATCGCGGATTCCCTAGGTTTTTACTCCATTCAGCGGCGATTCGATTGAGGAGTAACTACGGGTCCATGAAATATGTGTGATTTGGAGGTTGGGTAACCTGTATGGGTTAGATTATGCAAATCTTGTAGAATTTTGGGCCGGTATACTTTTTTCAAGCTCACTACTTGTGGCCTCCAGTGGAGAATTTGAACCCTAATGCTATTCATTTGTCGTTTCTTTAAGGTGTTTACTATCATAACACTTGTATGCGATCTATCAAGCTGTACGTTACCCCCCCCCCCCCCCCCCCCCCCCCCCCCCCCCCCCTCGCCGAGGTTGGAAACCCTGAATCTCGAGCGGGCCACTATACTTGTTGGGTTCGCAAAGCAATCCAATTCTATTCTCCGCCCAATATTTTGAAGTTACTCCAACTCATCTGTAGTGCTTGATGGAGTCCGGCAAAATCGTGGCCGTGAATGAATGCAACAACATTGCATTCATTTAAAAACCAATGTCAACCATTCAAATGGACAGTCCTAATAGGAACGATGCGCCAAAACCAATTACGGTAGTGGCAAATGGCGTGGGTCCCGCAACGAACTGAATTCAAACAGTGGGCAGCTTGCCAAAAAACTCGTCCTGCATTTTTTCAGGGTGTAGGTTAGGCGCAACAGCACGTTATTCAATCAATAGTTACCTAAATTGCCTACACGAAGAGTTTGGCAGCAGTTGCTGACAAGTCTAGCACTGTTCCCGGTCAACTTTTCAGGTTAGGATCAAATTTCAGATTTTGCTGAAAATTCGTTCTATGGGGTAACTTGGCACTCTTTGACCGATATCAAATTCACCTGGCGAAAACGTGTGGCACGCGCACTACGGGCGAAGAGAATAGTCATGCGGGACAGGGGTTAACTTGTCAGCAACTGCTCGCAGTCTCTTTTGGGCAATTTTAGACGAGAATTGAAGAAATAGCTACTATGAAAGTCTCTTAAGGCAATTTAGACAAGAATTGAAGAAATAACTACTATGAAAGTCTCTCTAGAAGTGTTGCGGACAAAAGCAAAGCAACAAACTTGCAAAGGAACCGATCCTACGAGCTTTTACCTGCCACCCCGGACCATCACCACTGAGCTATTACGCTTCATAACTCCGTTCGGAGAGTCGTTTAGCAGATTTGGAAGGCAGATTTGGAATCAGCGTCTGGAGACGCATCAGGTGAAATACATCTCATTTTAAACAGTCATCTTTCCCTTGTTAGCAAATTCTTGGAAGGAGAAATTCCAGCTAAGGAAACAATTCAATTTTCAGCAGCATCGAACTTCAGCTTCAGCAATTTTGCAAATGCAAAATCACTATATTGCTAAGATTATCCAATTCACATCAAATAGCTTACCTTATGATTGTACTTCGGCAACACCGCGCCTTTCTTCATCTTTCTCAGTAGTCTGGATATCGTCGTTGGGTTCACTCCAAACACCTTCGCTATTTTTCGACACGTCAACGTTGGGTCCCTTTCGACCATAGCCTGCACGATGTCCGGGTCCACCATCGTGTACTTTCCCCTTTGTTTCACTTCCAAATTCGTGTCTCCTCGCCGGAATTTGGCATAGTAATGGGTCACAGAGAATAGTGAAATAGCACCAGGACCGAATACTTTGTTCAAATTGTAGGATGCCACTTCGGCAATACTTCCTAGCCTATACTCGTACAGAAGACAGATTCGCACCTTCTCATCAATAGGCGGCATCTGAGAACATTCAGAACAAGCAATCATGTCATAAACATAGGGGTACGCAGCAAAAAGTCATCACCCAATCTCGCTCACTTTTGTAGCACGCAGCAATCAGACGTTCGCTCAGATGTCCGTCGGACTCGGCGATTGCACCGAGGGATGGGCGACCGCACAATCGCCGACTCTGACGGACATCCCAGCGTGGGATCTGATGAAGACACGAACACGTCGAAATAGTGCGCTCTATTGGAGCTAGAGAGGGTGAAAGTAATTCAAGTCGAATCACTTAGCGCTCACGCGCAACACCTGACATTTGCGACGTCGCGTGGTGACTTCTAACTCCAAGTACCTAATTTTCAACAAAAATGAACAGTAACTCACGTACGATTATTCGTTTGTTTTCCATTAAGAAACACTTGTGACCAAATGTCTTATTATCAAACATAAGACAGAATGTCCGCAAAATATTACAATGAACACTGTATATAAATCAGTTCAAACAAAACATGAAATGAAAACTTAAAAAGCGGTTTTTCGCATAAATCCAGCAAGAGCATGGAGAACAACGATTAAAATCTTTTGTTTTTCACTATCAAAGAAGTACTTTGCATATTACATCAATACTGGACGATCTTTTATGTACACAACAACATTTTCACATTTAATGCTGAATATCATTGAAAGATTGGTAAATGGGCCACAAGCCCGTATTTAAGAATTTAGTCAGTCCAATAAAAGCACAACAACGAACCCCTCGAGAAATGAGGGTAGAACCGCTTCACAGTACATAGAAATTAGCGATAACAAATGACTAGAAAAGTGGAACAATATGCTCTTTCATTTCGGAACTCTGGCTTGGTAATTCCACTGTTTCCTTCTTCACTTCCTTCACGGTGCTGTTGTTGCTAACTTCATCAGCTGGAGGTGGTTTCACTGAATATACATTTTAGAGTCCCGCTAATGTTGAGCACTTTTTAGGGACTTAAAAGTGAAACATGTTCTCAAACAGGCATCAGACAAACAATATAGGAAAACAAAAGAACAAAAACGAACATTGAAGAGAAAAAGAATGTGGTTACCTTGACTCAAAGGAGCCTTCACCGACTCTTGATTTGATGCACAGTTACCTTGACTTAAAGGAGCCTTCACCGTCTCTTGATTTGTTGCACGATATTTAGCCAAGCAGGCAAGAGACCTTGCTATCACACCACCTGAAGTAAAGGATAAAGCATTTGCCGTTGATCAATCCCTTTTTGGGATGCGGCACGCATTCTACTTCCATTTGTACATTCGTAGTGGCGTTTGAATGCGATGTGGCCTATACAATGACTTGCGGGGGCCAGCCGATGTACAAGTCAGTTTTTATCCTCCCAGACAAGTCTGGTACCAATTAACCGACCCCGGAGGGATGGAAGGCTTGGTTGGCCCGGGCGACTCACGACCCAGGATTTGATCCCCGGACCGCTCGCGTGGTAAGCGTGCCACTTGCCACTACACCACTTCCGCCCACCACCCGAAGTATTCCAACATATTAGAACAATTAGGTCCCACTTACATAATGCCTAGAAAGGGTAGAATCTGTACAATCAAACGGCAGCGCTTTTCACGCATACCGAGGGTCCCACTACGAGCCCTGCTTGGTTCGATGAAGCTTTCATCTATCAAAAATCGGACAAGTTGCACCAACTCGTGCTAGAGAAGCAGGGGATTTCACTATCAACTACTTCACGGTGATCACACCTGGGATAAGGTTGACACTAATCCAAAACAAATAAACCGTCCTCCGAGAAATGAAGATCCGCTACTTTGCTTAAGGCGAAATCCACGAATCTGAAGCCACGGAGTACGCTTGGTACAGTGCGTTACTGACACTAAACCACTTCACTCAATCACAATGAAGGGGAGCTCCCCATGCTTCATACGATAGAATCTCAAATAACGGTATCAACCATTCCGATGCAGCGATTGAAACAAGCATACCTCTAGTGTTGATTCTTCGTACTTCGTGTGGGGGATGCGATGACTGCGAGTCTATCGTGACGCCAATTCCGTCCGCAGATGAGCCGCTTAGAGTGTTACGATATTCCAGACCATTGTCACATACCCGTACCTTATTGCATTCAACACTTCGACCATTTTGCGTAGAAACGCCTGGAACAAACGGTAATGCATTAGAATTTGGTCAATCATGTTGGACTTTCAATGAATGTTGGCATGGGGTATTATTACTGGGAGAATTCAAAGTGCAAAACAAAATAAAAAGGGCTATTAGAACACAGTTCTACGTATGCTGCCGAGCGAGTTGCGTTCAAGCGGCCTAATTGTTCTTTGTGAAGATTTCCAAGCCCTCGGGCAGTGTCAGGGTTTACAGCCAATCGCTAGCGAATCGATCGGTCGCAAATTTGAAAATGCCTTAGAAAACAAAAATTGTGCGAATACTTGACCTAATCCTAATCGCAGCTCAGTTAACTGCAACAAAATAAAGGTTTGAAATATAAAAGTAAGGGGATCAAGAAAAAAGCACACACATTTGAAAAATGAAAAAAATAAGAAGCACGGAAAAGGCAAAAATCGGTGCACTACGAGTTGCCCAGACATTGTAGTCATACCTCATCAAGCTTCCCCCTTACACGACTGATAGGAAGGCTAGAAAGATGAATGACCAATTTTCGAACAAAAATCAATTTGTGAGTGAGGACAGGACAAAGGCGCTGACTGATGCTACTCAAATGCTTTTCAAATTAGTGGCTCACAGTAAAATTCAAGCATTTTTGAACTTTTTTACCCCTGCCCTATTCATACCAAATCAGGAATCGAAACCAACCTCTTCTAGCGTCCAGTTGCTGAGCTTTCATGAATTCATCAATTGACATATCGCCCAAACAATCTGAAAATGTCACTCAATCAAACTTAGCAAGTAACAGAGAAAATGTTATTCCACCAAACTAATCAGCAATGTCAATCTAACCTTCATGCAATTCCATCTTGACTTGCTCCTTCACAGGAGGCATGAGTCGAACGGTTCCATTCTCTGAACGAAAAACTCACTAGCACACTCGCTCAAGCAAATAGCGAGATGGAAACTCCTACCTATGAGACTCCGAATTGACGTAGATGGTCCTGAGGTTCGTGGCATACCAACTTCCTGTAAAACTCAAGTTTTAGTCCCCCGCAGCTGCAAGAAAATCTTAAATTGACCAAAAGGAGACAATCACGAAAAACGTGAGAAATCCAAAAAAAAACCAAAAGTACAAAATACAAAACAAACTATCATCTTGCCGAGCCAAATGAAACCCCTTTATAACCGCTGCA